AGAGGAAAAGAGAGAATATAAGCCAGCAGATAATGCACCACTAAAACTACTGATTCCATCTTTCTTTCTTCTTTTTCTCTCTACTTTTAACTTTTGATTCATCCATGACTTGTACGCAATGGCAAAACATCACCATCAACAGCAACTTTGTCCCAAATTAAAGAGAATACACACAGACATGCATGGAACTAATTAATATTTCTGTGGCCATGTGTTCATTTTTCTTTAGGAATCACTAGCGATAAGGCAATTCGGCCTAACTTGATAATTTACTCATGTTCCTTGCTGTGCCAAACCGGTGAACTCCAAGCTTGGATTTGTTAGGTCTGCATTTGACTCTATAAAACTTTTTGATTGTGCAAAATCGCTTCCCTGCAAAAGTTGAGCCTAAACCCTTGCGTCTTGACATGATACAATTGATAGAGAGGATCATAATATTGCATAAAGTTGTGCACTTGATCATGATGATCTACTCAATATACCAATACATGTGTATGGATAGACATACAAAAGGATCATACATATTGCATAAAGTTGTACACTTGATCAGGTATCACTAGCCTTGACTATGTCTTTCTTAAAATCCATAAGACAATTCCATGAAAATTTAAGGAAAAACTTATATGAAAGGTTTCACGCATGCAACAAGTATCGGATCTAATTTCAGCTCACTACCTCAAATTGGTTTCTGGAAGTAATTGTATGGTGAGAGACCATTTCTGGTCTAAGCCCATTTCGATCCATTGAACCGGCTTGCAGCCATGCTCCTCTACTGCAATGTTCATTTTCATAAACTATAAGTAGTAATTTTCCTTCCAAAAGTGATCTGCATGCAGGTTCTAAATTCCTAATCAACTTCTACGTACGAATTCAGACTTGATGCAAATCACAAATGAAGGTCATACCTGCATCAATATTGGAACAAACAAAGGATAGAGCAATTAGGGGATTTCATTCAACGGAAGTTATGATACAGTTAAGATCTTTTTGGTAAAATGCAATAACAGTTTTTTTTTTTGTTTTTTTTATCTCTGTTGGTTTATTTCAAGAGTGGTTGCATGCATGGTAACTAGCTAACACAGGGATAATGGATGACGGAATTAGATTAAGTAATGACTGTCGTAGTATAAAAATATATCAAGGTCAGAGAAGAAGAGGCAATTAATTGGATTAAGTTATATGGTCACCAAGTGCCTAATTTCCTTACTAATTAGAGAGAAGCAAGCAATATCTTCAAGTCCAAGTATATATATAAAAAAGGCTAAATTTACACAAGGAAAAGCAAGTATAATGTGTAATTTTATAAAATTCCCAAATAAAAAATAAAAGAAAAGAGTGCTTTTGCATTCAACTTTTCATGCTGAATTAGTTTCCAGATTTTAATTTTATTATTTCTTTAACATGTGCAAGTTAAGTGATGCAAGAACGAGGCCACCACATCGATAATCAAGAGGAAGAAAAAAAAAGGAAAAAAAGGGAAAGCAAAAGCTGTAAAAGGAAGCACTTTTTAGTATCAGAGAAAGGGAGAACGTGGATTCTGATTTCTCAAGGAAAAGCTACCCATGCATATATATATGTAGATATATATACATATATGATAGGAGAAGAAAGACAACGGAAACTCGAAAAAGTACGACCAACTAATAATAACACAAATCTATGAACCCAGTTAGAGAGAGAGAGAGAGAGAGAGAGAGAGAGAGAGAGAGAGAGAGATAAATAAATAAATATACAAATAATTATACCTGGAAGAATTGCCCCACAGATTGTTAGAAGAAGGGTGGTGGTGGTGTTCCATATCGTGCTCTAAATTTGAGGCTCCTCTTTGGTTAAGTAAGGTACTTGAATTATGATGATGTGTTGTTGTTGTGGACAAAAGATCTTCATCACCAGATCCATCTATATACATATATAATTAAAATAAGCCACCAAAATTATTCATGATCTTTTTTGCTTTTCTTTATTTTTCTGGTCACCCAAAACTAAAATAAAAGTAAATGAAAAGAAGATATTGAAAGCACATTGTCTTTTGTGTGTGCTCAATTTGAATTCTTTATTCTCGTACAGACAGTATGTACCGAAGCACAAAACGGAAGGAATTTAATTTGAAAATTCAAAGTAATAATTAATCTGATCCATATTAACAAGAGCAGCTGGGGATTAAGCAATAGGAATTATTACCTGAGGAACCTAGAGGTTTGTCAGTGTTCTTTACAGTTCTGTACATCTGCAAAAGCAAAAGAGAAAGAGATATGTCTATAATTATATGTATAAAAACAAGGATATATCATATGAGAGAAATAACTAATTAAAATAATTATAGAAAGAAAGAAAGGGTCAGTCAAAAGCAAGAAATAAAAAGAAAAAAAGAAAAAAAGAAAGAAATCAGATGCAGATGCTGCTGGTTGGCTTTGTGGATTTTTGTTGAGTAGTTTAATAACCACGAGGTTGATGTTTGGTAAGGTCAGTAAATGCTTTGTATTATTGAGAAATGATGGCTACTTTCTCTCTCTTTCTCTGTTTGTCTCTCTTTCTCTCTCTCAGTCTAAAAGCAGAAGTTGTCCTGTATCTCTATGTATCGGTAGTAATGCCACACACACAACACAAGAACGCGAGAACACAAGAAAGAAAAAAGGAACAGAAACAGACTCCACTGTTCATCTCATTCATCCATTTCCTTTCATTCATTCATTCATTCATTCATTCATCTCATCAGTAAGCATAATATTATTATTATATTTATTATTAATTCATCACTAGTACAAGTAGTCTAGTGTACTCTCCTCTCTATCCCTTCCCTTCCCTTCCCTTCCCCTCCCTTCCCTTCCTTGGCTACTGTGCCCCTTTCCTACCCAAAGTCTCAAGCCTCAAGTCTGCTGCCTTCTTCACCACACCCACCCCCTCACACAGTATAGTACGTTGTCAAACACAAACAGACATACAGAGAGAGAGAGACACGCACAAATTAAGAGAGAAACAAAAAGAAATTAGGTATTTGAATCTGAAATCTGATAAATGTGGTCGATACATATTCAAAGATATTGATTTTTAAAGTGCTGTTTTATATTAAACTATATACAAAAAAATTCAATCAGCTCCAGCCTCAGCTGTAGCTAGCTAGCGTTGTACCTGCAAATGGCTCTTAACATGAGCAAGTGTGAGATCCTTGACATCCATGAGCTCCAACACTGACTTTGGAGTAGCCCCTACACGGAAATGACCAATTAATTAATTACAAGACTACTTACA